ATCTTTAAAAGCTGCCTTTGGAGTAAACTCTTAAAACAAATTACCTGCATATATGGATGTTAATATCAAAATTGTGCTTTTTTAAAGCTAAGTAAAACAAAGAATAGTCTAATTGCCTCTTAACCCTTAAAATAAAAATAATTTTGAAAATATCTAGAATTGTTTTTCAAAATCACCATACACTGTAAGTACTGAGTTTATCATATAGGCCACATCAATAAATCAAAAACAACAACATTGTTTGCATATTGTTTGTATATTTGCAATTGTAAATGCAGCACACACTACATTGTTATTCCACTTTTTTCGTGCAGTATTCTTAACATTTGTAAGTGTTTGTCATCTAGTGTTTTACCTTGTTGTAATAGAAAATGTATCCAACATTAATGAATAACAGAATCCATTAATAATCAAACCACTGGGCTTACTTTTCTATGCTGCAGAGAAAAGGAAAATGAATTGAGTCGTGTTTCATTCCTCCCCTCAGAGTATCACACTGCCTCTGCACCAGCATCACTTCGCCGTCTGTGTGGCGCTGTCCACACAGCTGGTGGTGCTGAAATCCTCCCAGGCGCTCCCCTCCCTTCCTCTTATAAGCTTTCACACACGATTCTCTACATCTCCCTCTGCCGCTCACTCTTCTTTACAGAATCAAACCAGAAAATGTATTATGGCATTGTTCCTATCATTTCCTTAAGCTTTTAGAAATAGAACAATATGTTGTTTCCTGTCCGTTTGATTATTTTACAGGTTATGAACAATGTTAATTGGAGGCAGAACCATTGATGTCCCACATGATGCAGTGTATTTATGTGGAATGCATTGTAGAGTGGGAGTATATAGCTGCAATTAAGGATATTTTTTTGAAAAATAAATTGATCCACAAGTGTCTTTGGATTTGTTTTTTATAGAACAGATAAAGTGACTTCTATGTGTGTGGTCTTGTTTTACCTACAATGTCAGGGAGGCATTTTGTAAACTATATAATATGCAGGGACTTAAAGGTACATATGAGGATATTCAACTGGTCCCCATATAGTAAAGTTCTGTTCTTTGAGTTATGGTAATAATAATAGGTGTTGGTAATAGTTAAGACTAGGCCATATAAAGTGAATGCAAGTCAATGAAATGTCCCCATTTATTATGAAAACAAAGCTGTGTGTGGGTGTGTGTGTGTGCACCAGAGGGATAGAGAAAAACAGAGAGAAAAAACGGAGCACAGCAGCAGCAGCAAAAGCCTTTCTGCTTCATGTGCGCTCCCCCTCCCTTTCTACTTGCCCTACAGACCTCCATACGGGCATTTTACGTCAGCCGCTGTCACAGTTTTTATTTAAGCTCTGCGGTGAGCTGCGACAACGTCATGACGTACTGTATGTAGGCTGCACTGGCCTTATGTAACCACAGGAAGGCAGTAAAGAGCCTCATATTCCATGAAGACATTTGCGAGCATGCAGGCGCATACAACAAAGGGCAGATTGATCAGCTAAAATGATTTTAGATTAATAATGCACTGAATATTTATCAGCATTAAAGCTGGAAATTGAATATTCAGTTATATAAATGGCATTTTTGAGTCTAAAAATGTGTGCACATTAATAAATAGAGTAAAACAATGCATGAATGTTTAAATAAATATTATTTAATCTGATTAATCAATTCAATAGCGTTGTCTACTTGTGATCACTCGACTTTTCTATGTGCAACCTGATTGCTGGAAATGCCTCTGATCTCTGCACCAATGATATGAAGAGCTGTACAAAGAGATCTACTCTGTCTCAGCGAGTAGCGTCAGCTCTGAAACGCTGCAATGTCCTGCACAGGAGGAAACGGATGGAGACACGAAGCATGAATTTTGCTATTAAATTGCAAGCCTCATTTACTTCGGATTACAAAGAATATTTTCATTTAAGAGGTCGGGACAGGGGTGAAACGATATGGAGTATTCGGGACGTGGAATAATGTGGAGCAAATTGCCGACATGGCAGGCGCTTTTGTGGTGGAATTATTTCTATCTTATGTGGAGTACAATAGACGCACAGACTCATTACAGCATCCCGGAGGAGCTCAAACAGGGATCCGTTGTAGGAAATATAGCAAAAGATTTGGGTTTACATGTGCCTGAGATGTATCGCCGAAAATTACGGATTACCTCCGAGGCTGGTAAGCAGTATTTTGATGTAGATTTGGGGAAAGGAGAGCTGCTTGTGACAGACAGAATAGATAGAGAGGAACTCTGTGGACAAAGACCATCCTGTGTGTTGCCTTTAGAGCTAGTAATAGATAACCCGTTACAGGTGCACAGGGTTGAAATTGAAATACGGGATACAAATGATAATACTCCTAGCTTTCTTACTAAAGAGAAAGTAGTTAAAATAGCGGAGTTGGTAAATCCAGGCGCGCGATTTCCTTTAGAGAGTGCAAACGATCCGGATGTTGGCACTAATTCTGTACGCACATATCTCATAAGCAAAAATGAGCATTTCAAATTAACAGTTAAAAATCTTAAAGATGGTAGAAAAATTCCTGAATTGGTGCTTGACAAACCTCTTGATCGAGAGATGCAGACTGTACACAACCTCATCCTCACAGCTGTGGATGGAGGAGATCCGGTGCGTTCAGGGACATCAGAAATCACTGTTATAGTGCTTGACATTAATGATAATGCGCCACAATTTGAAAGGCAAGTATATGAAGTTAATGTCACTGAAGGTGCTACATTTGGAACCGAGATTTTGCAGGTAAAAGCTGTAGATGCAGATGAGGGATTAAATGGGGAAATTGAATATGTATTTGCAGAGCAAACTTCAGATCTCATTGTATCATTATTTGACATTAATCCATCTACTGGAACTATTACTGTAAAAGGGGTTTTAGACTATGAGTCAAACTCTTTACATAGATTCGATATTACAGCAAAAGACAAAGGGAATCCTGAGATGGACGGGCATTGTGGTGTGGAAGTCAAAATAATTGACATTAATGATAATAATCCAGAAATAGTTGTGACTTCTTTAACAACACCCGTTCCTGAAGATTCTGCAGCTGGAACAGTTATTGCAATAATAAGTACAAGAGACCCTGATTCAGGCGTTAATGGCAAGGTTACATTAACAGTGTCAGCAAAGTCTCCGTTTAAGTTAAATCCGTCGATCTCTAAACATTATTCTTTGGTAACAAATGGTCCGCTCGATCGTGAAAAAAACAGCATGTACAGCGTTAAGATAACCGCAACTGATGGCGGTAAACCGCCTTTAACGAGTGAAAAAACAATAGCTTTTGAACTTTCAGATGTAAATGACAACCCACCTCGTTTCTCCCATGTTTCATATGCAGTTTACATAAAAGAAAATAATATCCCAGGTCTTATTTTGAGTTCAGTATCAGCTTCTGATCAAGATTCTGGTGAAAACGCAAAAATCTCTTATTCTATTCTAGACTCTAAAGCACAGGATGTGTCTGTCTCATCTTATGTTTACATTAATTCAGAAAACGGGAGCATCTACAGCATGCAATCCTTTGACTATGAGAAGCTGAAGGTGTTTCAGATTCAGGTTCAGGCAAAGGACCATGGTTCCCCTCCTCTGAGCAGCAACACCACTGTCCATGTTTTTATCCTGGACCAGAACGATAATGCTCCCGCTGTTATTTACCCCTCCTCTGCTGCCCTGGGTTCTCTCTCTCATCAAAGGATGCCCCGCTCTGCTAAAGCTGGTCACCTGGTTACTAAGGTGACGGCCGTGGACGCTGACTCCGGCCATAATGCGTGGATCTCCTACAGACTGGCGGAGGCCACAGACGCCTCTCTGTTCACCGTCAATCAGTACACAGGGGAGGTGAGGACTAAACGCGCTGTAACCGAGCAGGATGACTCCTCTCAGAGGCTGCTGATAGAGATCAAGGATGATGGGGAACCGGTTCAGTCCGCCACCGCTACGGTGTCCATCCTGCTGGAGGACGGTCTCCATGAACCCATCTTAGACCTCAGACATAAAGTATCTGAGCCCAGCAAGAAAACTGGCAGAATTACCCTTTATTTGATTCTGTCTCTGGCCTCAGTGTCCGTGCTGTCTCTGGTGACGTTTCTCATCTTAGCGGTGAAATGCATCAGGAGCAGCAGTAGCAGCGGGAGCTGCTGCATGAGAAGAAGTGACTGTGATGATTACAAGAACCCCAACAGAAACCTGCAGATTCAGCTCAACACTGATGGACCCATAAAGTATGTGGAGGTCCTGGGAGGAGACATGATGTCTCAGAGTCAGTCCTTCAGGTCCTGCATGTCTCCAATGTCAGAGTACAGTGATTTTACTCTAATCAAACCCAGCAGCACCACAGACTTTAAAGAAACCCTCAGTGTTCTGGATGCGTCTTTACCTGACAGCACCTGGACCTTTGAGAGCCAGCAGGTGAGCTAATCCCAAATTAACCGTGTTTTTAGATTTATCTACCATTAAATAACCCTTTGTCAAACACTTTTGCTTTAATGAGCCTGAGATGTATAGAAGCATCATGTAGCCTGTATATTTCATGGGCTGTTGATTAGAATATTTGCTGAATTAGAGTATTTACCAAACCTTATAAGAGTTTTATCATAATCAGGCTGACCTTTAAAGCATTATCAACAAGTTAATTTTATTAGTCAATTATTAATAAAATATATGTTTTCAAAACGTTATATATTGCTTTGGTTTTATGTTGTAATGGGTAAGACACGTTTTTAAGGATTAGATTAAGTAAATTAATTTTTTTTGTACTATGTACAAATTTTGACTATTTATTTATTTAATTTTGATGTTTCTATTTTTTATGTAATAAGGTTTGGCGGTCATAAATATCTTTTTTTATTCAAATAAAGCACATGAACATTATAGGCTCTGCATTGTGGCTTTACAAGTGTAGATCAGCTCCCTTCCTAGTGGATTATAGGTTTTAACGCTCTCGACCAATAGGATTTAACACTGTACAAAGAAATCTAGTCCCTGCCCCCTTTCAGCTTCTGTGCTCCTGTACTCTCATTGCAGCGTGTCAGAGGAGAGAAGGCGATGGGATTCATTTTGCAATGTGGGAATTTATTATTTGGCCTTACATTCATGCATAGTTGCTTTTGATCAAGCATGTATGGAATATAATACGTGAGAGGATGGATACATGATTGTTTCCGTACAAACCATTTACTGGAATAAATATGGTATAACGGACCAAGGATGACAAAGAGAAATGCATATCGAGACTGGAGATGGCTGGTGCTTTGGTGGCACCATTTTTTTATCATGTGGAATACAATAGATGGACAGACTCGGTACAGCATCCAAGAGGAGTTAAAAATGGGATCTGTGGTTGGAAATCTCGCTAAAGATTTAGGGTTGTCCTTAACTGAAATTTCTGACCGTAAACTAAGCGTCGCATCTGAGGCTGGTAAGCAGTATTTTACCGTGGATGCGGGGAAGGGAGAGCTGGTTGTGAATGACAGAATAGATAGAGAGGCTCTTTGTGGACAAAGCGCCAGCTGTGTGTTGCCTCTGCAGGTCTTTATCGAAGATCCGTTGCAGCTTTTTCGTGTGGAAGTTGAAATTCAAGATATTAATGATAATTCCCCCAGATTCCCGTCAAAGGATATTACTCTAGATATTGCAGAATCTACTGCGATTGGGGTTCAGTTTCCATTAGAAAGTGCAATAGATCCCGATGTCGGTAGTAATTCTCTGAGGTCATATAAATTGAGTAAACATGAATGTTTCAGTATAAGAGTAAAAGATGTTGCTGGTGGAAGGAAGGTTCCTGAATTATTCCTAACAAAAATGTTAGACAGAGAGAAAAATATTGCACATACGCTTCTGTTAACAGCTCTAGACGGAGGTAACCCAGTGAGATCAGGGACGGCAGAGATAACTATTACAGTTCTAGATATAAATGATAATATCCCAGCGTTCGAGAAATCTTTATATAAAGTATCAATTCCAGAAAATGCTCCCGAGGGTGAATTGATTATACAAACAAAAGCAGCAGATATAGATGAGGGTCAAAACGGAGAGATTGAATATTCATTCGGATCGCACACCCCCGATTCTGTTCTTTCCATTTTTACCATTGATTCTGCTTCAGGAACAATCATTCTGAAGGGAAACTTAGATTATGAAACAACTACAAAATATGAATTGGATGTAACTGCGAAAGATAGGGGCACTCCGAGAATGGAGGGACATTGTATGGTAAATGTTGAAGTTTTAGATGTTAATGACAATGCGCCAGAAATAATTCTCACGTCTCGACCAAAACCTGTGAGTGAAAACTCGCCTAACGGTACCGTTGTTGCTCTAATCAGCGCCAGGGACTTGGATTCCGGGGATAACGGAAAAGTAAAATTACACATTCCAGAGAAAAGTAACTTTGCGCTGAGGCCCTCGTTTTCACAAAACTACGCGCTAGTTACAAACAGTGTTTTGGATCGCGAAAAAGTCCCCGAATATAACATTGAAATAGCAGCCATTGATTCTGGCTCCCCTCCGCTGTCAAGTAAGAAAACTATTCATGTTAGCATAACTGATGTAAATGACAACCCTCCTATTTTTACTCAGTCTTCCTATAATGTATATTTAAAAGAGAATAAAATTCCAGGATCTATACTTTACTCGGTATCAGCGTCTGATCGGGATTCTGGGGAAAACGCAAAGATTTCTTACTCTATACTTGACTCCAAAGTGCTGGGTGTTTCTGTCTCCTCTTACGTTTACATAAACTCGGATAACGGGAGCATCTACAGCATGCAGTCATTTGATTATGAGAAGCTGAAGGTGTTTCAGATTCAGGTTCAGGCAAAGGACCATGGTTCCCCTCCTCTGAGCAGCAACACCACTGTCCATGTTTTTATCCTGGACCAGAACGATAATGCTCCCGCTGTTATTTACCCCTCCTCTGCTGCCCTGGGTTCTCTCTCTCATCAAAGGATGCCCCGCTCTGCTAAAGCTGGTCACCTGGTTACTAAGGTGACGGCCGTGGACGCTGACTCCGGCCATAATGCCTGGATCTCCTACAGACTGGCGGAGGCCACAGACGCCTCTCTGTTCACCGTCAATCAGTACACAGGGGAGGTGAGGACTAAACGCGCTGTAACCGAGCAGGATGACTCCTCTCAGAGGCTGCTGATAGAGATCAAGGATGATGGGGAACCGGTTCAGTCCGCCACCGCTACGGTGTCCATCCTGCTGGAGGACGGTCTCCATGAACCCATCTTAGACCTCAGACACAAAGTTTCTGAGCCCAGCAAGAAAACTGGCAGAATTACCCTTTATTTGATTCTGTCTCTGGCCTCAGTGTCCGTGCTGTCTCTGGTGACGTTTCTCATCTTAGCGGTGAAATGCATCAGGAGCAGCAGTAGCAGCGGGAGCTGCTGCATGAGACGAAGCGACTGTGATGATTACAAGAACCCCAACAGAAACCTGCAGATTCAGCTCAACACTGATGGACCCATAAAGTACGTGGAGGTCCTGGGAGGAGACATGATGTCTCAGAGTCAGTCCTTCAGGTCCTGCATGTCTCCAATGTCAGAGTACAGTGATTTTACTCTGATCAAACCCAGCAGCACCACAGACTTTAAAGAAACCCTCAGTGTTCTGGATGCGTCTTTACCTGACAGCACCTGGACCTTTGAGAGCCAGCAGGTGAGGCAAAACTACTGTATTTTTCCATGAGTTGAATGATTGTGCAAAAGGAGATGATTGTTGGACAATTTACAGAGTTGGGTAGACTACTCAATGATTTTATTCAAAATAAGAAAAGCGTTACTTTATTATTATTATTATTATTATTATTATTATTATTATTATTATTATTATTATTATTATTATTATTATTATTATTATTATTATTATATTTTTTATATAATTTTGTATATGTATATATATATATATATATATATATATATATATATATATATATATATATATATATATATATATATATATATATATATATATATATTATATATATATATATATATATATATATATATATATATATATATATATATATATATATATATATATATATATATATATATATATATATATACAAAATTATAAAATGAGACACTAAGTATTGGCTAAAGATTGATTTCCATAAGCAGCCTGTTTTATAAAACGCTCTGCTCAGAGCGCTTCTCATTGGATGACAGCGTGGTATGCTTTGCTCCAATAGCAGAAGGGAAAATACAAAGAGATCTACCCCCCTCTCAGAGCAGCTTCACCACCACAACACGTTAACAATGCAATGAGTGAGATCACAGTGGGACGTGCTTATACCTCGGAGCTAAAAAATAAAAATGAATTATGCTGTAGGCATGAATGGACCAGCTATTTCTAGATTTGATATTCTTTTTGACACTCACTGGAACTGGATTGGTACCTTAAGCTTCATAATGGAAAAGGCCTGACGGATCGGTGATTACAAAGAAAATGGGATTTCGAGGCTGGAGATGGCGAGCGTTTTGGTGGCATTTTTTATTTCTCCTATGGAGCTCAGTAGAAGCACAGACTCGCTACAGCATCCCAGAGGAAGTAAAACCGGGTTTTGTTGTTGGAAATCTCGCTAAAGATTTGGGTTTGTCATTATTTGCGATTTTTGACCGTAAGTTGCGGGTCGCATCTGAGTCTGATGAGCAGTATTTCAGCGTGGTTGCGGGGAAGGGAGAGCTGGTGGTGATTGACAGAATAGACAGAGAGGCTCTTTGTGGACAAAGCCCGAGCTGCGTGTTACCTTTACAAATTGTTATTGAGAATCCCTTACAATTACACAGACTCGAGGTAGAAATAAAAGACATAAATGATAACGCTCCAATCTTTCAAACGAAAGAATTAACAGTAAAAATTGCAGAATCGGCAGCAGTTGGAACGCGCTTTTCTTTGGAGAATGCAGAAGATTTAGATGTTGGAAGTAATTCGGTGAAATCCTACAGTTTAACCAAAAATGAAATGTTTACAATGAAAATGAAGGAATTGGGAGATGGCAGAGCAGTTCCAGAGTTGGTGTTAGAAAAGCCTCTTGATCGAGAAAAAACAGCTGTCCATCATTTAAAACTGACTGCGGTAGACGGGGGAACTCCGCCCCTTTCGGGTACCGCACAACTTAAAATTATTGTGCTTGACATTAATGACAATTTTCCTGTGTTTGAAAAAAATATTTATAAAGTTTCATTAAAAGAGAATACTGCAAAGGGCGCATTTGTAATTAAAATCACTGCAACTGATGCTGATGAGGGACCTAATGGGGAAATAGAATATTCTTTTGGTTCAAGGACTCCTGAGTCTGTGTTGGCCGTATTTGATATTAACACATCAACAGGAGAAATATACTTATCAAAAGATTTGGATTATGAAAGAGCCAAATCCTATAAAATAGAAATATCTGCTAAAGATAAAGGACTACCTGAAATGGAGAGCGATTGTCATTTACAGCTAGATGTTTTAGATGTTAATGACAACACACCAGAAATTGTTCTCACTTCTGAACCCCAGCCTGTGCAGGAAGACGCACCAAGGGGCACAGTAGTTGCTTTGCTTAATGCACGTGATGCCGATTCTGGGAATAATAGCAAAGTTACGCTGCAGTTAAATAAAGGTTCTCCTTTTAGTCTTAAATCATCATTTTCTAACAATTATGCGCTGGTTACCAGCGGCCCTTTGGATAGAGAAACCTTTTCAGAGTATAACATTGAGATAACAGCTACTGATTCAGGTTCTCCTCCACTTTCAAGTAAAAAAGTTATACCAGTATACATCACTGATGTTAATGACAATCCTCCTGCATTCACTCAGTCCTCATATAATGTATATTTAAAAGAAAACAAAGTACCAGGTTCGATACTTTACTCGGTTTCTGCTTCTGATCTAGATTCTGGTGAAAACGCAAAAATCACATATTCCATACTGGATTCTAAAGTACAAGATGCTTCTGTTTCATCTTATGTTTACATTAATTCAGAAAACGGGAGCATCTACAGCATGCAATCATTTGACTATGAGAAGCTGAAGGTGTTTCAGATTCAGGTTCAGGCAAAGGACCATGGTTCCCCTCCTCTGAGCAGCAACACCACTGTCCATGTTTTTATCCTGGACCAGAACGATAATGCTCCCGCTGTTATTTACCCCTCCTCTGCTGCCCTGGGTTCTCTCTCTCATCAAAGGATGCCCCGCTCTGCTAAAGCTGGTCACCTGGTTACTAAGGTGACGGCCGTGGACGCTGACTCCGGCCATAATGCCTGGATCTCCTACAGACTGGCGGAGGCCACAGACGCCTCTCTGTTCACCGTCAATCAGTACACAGGGGAGGTGAGGACTAAACGCGCTGTAACCGAGCAGGATGACTCCTCTCAGAGGCTGCTGATAGAGATCAAGGATGATGGGGAACCGGTTCAGTCCGCCACCGCTACGGTGTCCATCCTGCTGGAGGACGGTCTCCATGAGCCAATCTTAGACCTCAGACATAAAGTTTCTGAGCCCAGCAAGAAAACTGGCAGAATTACCCTTTATTTGATTCTGTCTCTGGCCTCAGTGTCCGTGCTGTCTCTGGTGACGTTTCTCATCTTAGCGGTGAAATGCATCAGGAGCAGCAGTAGCAGCGGGAGCTGCTGCATGAGAAGAAGCGACTGTGATGATTACAAGAACCCCAACAGAAACCTGCAGATTCAGCTCAATACTGATGGACCCATAAAGTACGTGGAGGTCCTGGGAGGAGACATGATGTCTCAGAGTCAGTCCTTCAGGTCCTGCATGTCTCCAATGTCAGAGTACAGTGATTTTACTTTGATCAAACCCAGCAGCACCACAGACTTTAAAGAAACCCTCAGTGTTCTGGATGCGTCTTTACCTGACAGCACCTGGACCTTTGAGAGCCAGCAGGTGAGTCAAAAGAGTGACAACCTGTATACGAAAGCGCTGGTTCAAAATACATGTTTTCTACATTACTCAAACTGCTTAGTGAAAGCATTTTAACCGACCTTTTTCTTTTTGTGTATGTTTATGTTAATTTATGTTATGTAAATTGTTATATACAAAAACTGGTTTTCGGATTAAGACCTCTAAAAGCTGTTTGTTCGTCTAGAATAATGTTGACCTTATTTAAACCATCCTTTACATCTTTAATGCAGCAGGGATCACCAACCATTTAACTATCGTGTACCATTGTCCAAAGGCCATGCATCGAGCTGGACAACAATTTTTAATGCATTTTGTATTCCTCTACTTTCATAGGACATCCATAATTTTTATAACTTCATATCATAATAATTTTATGCTTTAAAGACAATTTGAAAATAAATATCCAAGGAACCACTAAAATCCCTTAGTATCATATATAGCTTATTGTTCAATTTCACGAAAACAGACTAAGCCGCCCCCTTCTGGTCGGATTGAAACTTTACTCCCACAAGTTAGTTTAAAACGTACAAAGTGATTAATCAATTAATCAAGCTTAATCTTAACTGCATTTTAATAAATTTCTCTAAAAAAGAAATGGGTGCACACCAGTAAATAAGAAGTAAAGATACATTTTTTTTTCTTGTTTTCTTTTCTTGGTGTGGTAGGGAAGTTAGCGTTGGGAGTGAGAACAATTTTTCTCTCCATGTGTTTTCTCGTAAGCGATATTGAGTCCGTAAACGAGGTCATATAATTTTCTGTTTTAACTTTTCTACCTACTATAAGTCAGTATATATATACATACATATATATATATAATTTTTTTGAAAGAATAAATCAATAAAATACATCCAAAATTGAAAGTCAAATGAGAACCTTTACAAAAGCTTGAAGGCACGGCAGGCCGCATAGGAGAGGGGGAAGGGGTATATGTTTGCTGCGCTGTCGTCACTTCTACATTAAAGGCACTACACTACATAGATGGAGAGAAAGTCCATGTGTTGAATGGGATAAAATCGATGTTTGTAAATGCAGGGGACCCGTGTTTGAATCGAGGTTTGGGGAGGAAGGGCATCCGGTGCAAAAACTAAGCCTAACCTGAGAGCAAGTCACTTTGCCTGGCGAGCCCTGAAAATAGAAGCAGCCTAAAGTGCACCAACAACAGGTAGACAGGTACATTTTTAACACGGTTACTAGAACAAAAGTATTGAAATGCTTTTTGAAATAAAAGCAGCAGTCAAACTGATGTAAAATAAAAAAATCTGTTTTTTGTTTTTAGTTTTTTTGGTTGGTTGTTTTTTTACTGCTATTATGTGGGTTAACAATCCTTTTACCATGTCGATGAGTGTGTGTGTGTGTGTGTGTGTGTGGGTGGGTGGGTGATTTAAATGATTTGACCAGCTTTATTCTCATTGGATGACAGAAATGTCTAGCAAGCACCAATGAATGGCAGAGCTGTACAAAGAGATCTAGTCCCTCCCCCATATGCAGCGACACAAACTCTACACTCACACTGTAGAGAGAAAGATGAAACGGAGTGATGCTACGAATGAAACTAAAACAAAAAGGTGGAAATATGTTTTGGGCTAGATTTTGGAATTTTGCTTTGGATTAATTTCGTACTGCAATGGAGGATATAGACCGTACTTTGGATTGCTTCATTTGGAAATAATTGTTGAGAATATTTGATGGCAAAGACAATGGGATACCGAGAATGGAGATGGAAAGCGGTTTGGTGGAATCAGTTCTTTCTTCTGTGGACTACAATAGAAGCACAGACTCGTTACAGCATCCCAGAAGAACTAAAACCGGGTTCTGTGGTCGGAAATCTCGCCAAAGATTTGAGTTTGTCATTATCTGACATGTTTGACCGTAAGCTGCGGGTCGCATCTGAGTCTGGCGAGCAGTATTTCAGCGTGGATGCGGGGAAGGGAGAGCTTGTGGTGAATGACAGAATAGACAGGGAAGCTCTATGTGGACAAAGCGTGAGCTGCGTGTTACCTTTACAAATTGTCATTGAAAACCCCTTACAATTACACCGACTGGAGATAGAAATTAAAGATATAAACGATAACTCTCCAGTGTTTCAAACAAAAGAATTATCTTTAAAAATTGCAGAATCTGCAGCAGTGGGAACTCGCTTTCTTTTGGAAAGTGCAGAGGATTTAGACGTGGGGGTTAATTCCGTGAAGTCATACACTTTGACAAGAAATGAATGTTTTACACTAAAAATGAAGGATGTTAACCGGGGTAGAGCAGTTCCTGAGTTGGTTTTAGAAAAGCCTCTTGATCGAGAGAAGAAAGCGTTTTATCAGCTAAAGTTGACTGCAGTAGATGGAGGAAATCCGACCCTTTCGGGTACCTCACAACTTACAATTATTGTGCTTGATAATAATGATAATTTTCCTGTCTTTGAAAATATGACGTTCACAGTTTCTTTGCAAGAAAATTCTGTGAAGGATACTTCCATAATTAAGATAACTGCAACTGATGCTGATGAGGGACCTAACGGAGAAATAGAATATTTTTTTGGCGCGAGGACACCGGAGTCCGTGTTATCCATGTTTGAAATCCGATCCTCAACTGGAGAGATATATCTGAAAGGAGACTTAGATTATGAAGAAGCAACCTCCTACAAAATAGAAATATCTGCGAAAGACAAAGGGGTTCCTGAAATGGAGAGTTACTGTCATTTACAGATAGATGTTTTAGATGTTAATGACAACACTCCAGAAATTGTTCTCACTTCTGAACCCCAGCCTGTGCAGGAAGACGCACCAAGGGGCACAGTAGTTGCTTTGCTTAATGCACGTGATGCCGATTCTGGGAATAATAGCAAAGTTACGCTGCAGTTAAATAAAGGTTCTCCTTTTAGTCTTAAATCATCATTTTCTAACAATTATGCGCTGGTTACCAGCGGCCCTTTGGATAGAGAAACGTTTTCAGAGTATAATATCGAGATAACAGCTACTGATTCAGGTTCTCCTCCACTTTCAAGCAAAAGAGTTATACCAGTATACATCACTGATGTTAATGACAATCCTCCTGTATTCACTCAGTCCTCATATAATGTATATTTAAAAGAAAACAGAGTACCAGGCTCAATACTTTACTCAGTTTCTGCTTCTGATCTAGATTATTCGGAAAACGGAAAAATCACGTATTCCATCCTGGATTCAAAAGTACAAGATGCTTCTGTTTCATCTTATGTTTACATTAATTCAGAAAACGGGAGCATCTACAGCATGCAATCGTTTGACTATGAGAAGCTGAAGGTGTTTCAGATTCAGGTTCAGGCAAAGGACCATGGTTCCCCTCCTCTGAGCAGCAACACCACTGTCCATGTTTTTATCCTGGACCAGAACGATAATGCTCCTGCTGTTATTTACCCCTCCTCTGCTGCCCTGGGTTCTCTCTCTCATCAAAGGATGCCCCGCTCTGCTAAAGCTGGTCACCTGGTTACTAAGGTGACGGCCGTGGACGCTGACTCCGGCCATAATGCCTGGATCTCCTACAGACTGGCGGAGGCCACAGACGCCTCTCTGTTCACCGTCAATCAGTACACAGGGGAGGTGAGGACTAAACGCGCTGTAACCGAGCAGGATGACTCCTCTCAGAGGCTGCTGATAGAGATCAAGGATGATGGGGAACCGGTTCAGTCCGCCACCGCTACGGTGTCCATCCTGCTGGAGGACGGTCTCCATGAGCCCATCTTAGACCTCAGGCATAAAATATCTGAGCCCAGCAAGAAAACTGGCAGAATTACCCTTTATTTGATTCTTTCTCTGGCCTCCGTGTCCGTGCTGTCTCTGGTGACGTTTCTCATCTTAGCGGTGAAATGCATCAGGAGCAGCAGTAGCAGCGGGAGCTGCTGCATGAGACGAAGCGACTGTGATGATTACAAGAACCCCAACAGAAACCTGCAGATTCAGCTCAATACTGATGGACCCATAAAGTACGTGGAGGTCCTAGGAGGAGACATGATGTCTCAGAGTCAGTCCTTCAGGTCCTGCATGTCTCCAATGTCAGAGTACAGTGATTTTACTTTGATCAAACCCAGCAGCACCACAGACTTTAAAGAAACCCTCAGTGTTCTGGATGCGTCTTTACCTGACAGCACCTGGACCTTTGAGAGCCAGCAGGTGAGCTAAAGAATATCCACTGTTATGTTTTGTAACATATAGATATATATAACAAATATTTTTACAATAAAAAATGTTGAGGGAGAAAAATAGATCACAGGCTTGTTCCTTTTTAATTTCATCATATTCCGTTAGTCTTGCAACTTTGAATTCCATTCAGGCAGTTTATTCAAAGATACTACCAGCATCGTGATTTGTAAATATGTCCTTTATACAGGCATTAATTATATTTTCCTTCAGCACCTCAGTAGTGAACAGCGACAATTTTTGAAAGGTTCCCGGTAACAGGGCAAAACTGAGTTTGAAATTACTCACCAATGATTAATATCATACTGAGATGAAGTACCCAATTATTTATGTAATTATGTCTTCTTTATTTTTTTTTTTTTTTTTATTATGTTTTTGTTTATTTTATTAGTTATATTATTATTATTTATTTTCGTATTATTAGGCTGAAATAATTTATTTACCGCGTTATACTCTGTTAAACTTTATTCTTTTCCACTGTACTATCTCGTAAATGACATTGCACCATCACTGTCTTCTCATGGCAAGAAAGATCTAGTTCCACCAATTAAGCACACTGTGCAAAGGATCTAGTCTCCCCCTGCAAAGGGCAGATGTACACTAGCATCTCCCTGCAACGAGATTAAAACTAATAGAAAGACTTTTGTAAGCTTTGACTTAACAGTGTTAGATTTAATTTGTGCCATGAGATTTTGTAACAATGACTTGTTGTTGATTCACTGAACCGTGTAATGCTTTTTGAGAATAAGGGATGGCAAAGACAATGGGATACCGCGACTGGAGATGGAAAGCGGTTTGGTGGAATCAATTATTTCTCCTGTGGATTACAGTTGAAGCACAGACTCGTTACAGCATCCCAGAGGAACTAAGAAGAGCTTCCGTGGTTGGAAATCTAGCTAAAGATTTGAGTTTGTCTTTGTCTGACATTTTGAGCCGTAAACTGCGGGTCGCATCTGAGGCTGGCGAGCAGTATTTCAGCGTGGATGCGGGAAAGGGAGAGCTGGTGGTGAATGACAGAATAGACAGAGATGCTATTTGTGGACAAAGCGCGAGCTGTGTTTTAACTCTTCAAATTGTGATTGATAATCCTTTACAGCTTTACAGAGTAGAGGTTGAAATACAAGACGTTAATGATAATTCCCCTAGTTTTCCGTCGACTGAAAAAATATTGCAAATAGCAGAGCTAGCAGCGGCAGGGACGCATTTTCCTCTGGATTCGGCTCAGGATCTTGATGTTGGTGTTAACGCAGTAAGATCGTATTCCTTAAGCAAAGATGATTTTTTTACTTTGAAAATCAAAGATGTGTCTGGCGGAAAGAGAGTTCCTGAGTTAGTTTTATCTAAATCCGTTGACAGAGAGATGAAAGCAAAACATAAGCTGATATTAACTGCAATAGATGGAGGGAACCCAGCCAGGTCTGGGACCTGCCAATTAACCATAAATATCCTTGATATTAACGACAATTTCCCAGCTTTTGAGAAGAACATATACAAAGTTTCTATAAACGAAAATGCAGCAAATGGGACATCAGTTCTTACACTGAAAGCTAAAGATGCAGATGAAGGTTTAAACGGAGAGATTGAGTTTTCCTTTGCAGCGCACACGCCAGAAAATGTCCTGTCTGTGTTTCATATAGATTCACTAACTGGAGAAATACGTTTGATTGGGGACTTAGATTTTGAAACACATTCTAATTACGAGATCTATGTTACCGCTGCAGACAAAGGAAGCCCAAAAATGGAGGGGCATTGTACTGTTCATATCGAAGTTTTAGATGTTAACGATAATCCTCCGAATATATTTCTGACTTCTCAGCCAAACTCAGTACCCGAGAATGCGCCAAGTGGCACTGTAGTGGCTTTAATTAGCGCAAGAGACGTTGACTCTGGTGATAACGGTAAAGTTACATTGCAACTTCCCAAAGATATGCCTTTTAAACTGAAACCATCATTTTCTGACAATTATGTTTTGATTACACACGGTGCTTTAGACAGAGAACAATTCACTGAGTATAATGTTGAGATAACTGCCACTGATAAAGGTTCACCGCCAATGTCGAGTAAAAAGACAGTTAATGTTAATATCACTGATGTTAATGACAATCCACCTGTATTTACACAATCCACATGTGCTGTTTATTTAAAAGAAAATAGATTACCAGGATCTATACTTTACTCGTTATCAGCATCCGATTCTGATTCTGGTGATAACGCAAAGATATCTTACTCAATACTGGATTCTAAAGTACAAGACGTTTCTGTCTCATCTTATGTTTACATTAACTCGGATAATGGGAGCATCTACAGCATGCATTCCTTTGACTATGAGAAGCTGAAGGTGTTTCAGATTCAGGTTCAGGCAAAGGACCATGGTTCCCCTCCTCTGAGCAGCAACACCACTGTCCATGTTTTTATCCTGGACCAGAACGATAATGCTCCTGCTGTTATTTACCCCTCCTCTGCTGCCCTGGGTTCTCTCTCTCATCAAAGGATGCCCCGCTCTGCTAAAGCTGGTCACCTGGTTACTAAGGTGACGGCCGTGGACGCTGACTCCGGCCATAATGCCTGGATCTCCTACAGACTAGCGGAGGCCACAGACGCCTCTCTGTTCACCGTCAATCAGTACACAGGGGAGGTGAGGACTAAACGCGCTGTAACCGAGCAGGATGACTCCTCTCAGAGGCTGCTGATAGAGATCAAGGATGATGGGGAACCGGTTCAGTCCGCCACCGCTACGGTGTCCATCCTGCTGGAGGACGGTCTCCATGAACCCATCTTAGACCTCAGACACAAAGTTTCTGAGCCCAGCAAGAAAACTGGCAGAATTACCCTTTATTTGATTCTGTCTCTGGCCTCAGTGTCCGTGCTGTCTCTGGTGACGTTTCTCATCTTAGCGGTGAAATGCATCAGGAGCAGCAGAAGCTGTTGCACGAGACGGGGTGACTGTGATGATTACAAGAACCCCAACAGAAACCTGCAGATTCAGCTCAATACTGATGGACCCATAAAGTACGTGGAGGTCCTGGGAGGAGACATGATGTCTCAGAGTCAGTCCTTCAGGTCCTGCATGTCTCCAATGTCAGAGTACAGTGACTTTACTCTGATCAAACCCAGCAGCACCACAGACTTTAAAGAAACCCTCAGTGTTCTGGATGCGTCCTTACCTGACAGCACCTGGACCTTTGAGAGCCAGCAGGTGAGGCAAAAAGTCATTCGGTTTTTATAAATATAGTTTTATTAGATTTGTTATCCTAGCAGAGAAAGTAATGGCTAATTTTTTTTTTTGAACACCTAAGCTTTTATAGTATATTTTTTAACCCAAAGCATTTAAGGTATTCTTGTGAATTCCAAAGGACAATTGGTCCTAAAGCAGACAGTAAAAAAAAAAAAAAAAAAAAAAAACAGAACTGCACAACCTTGCTTAAATCTATATATTGCTAATTCTTAATTTATCTATTTTAGTCCTTTCTTTTGTTCTCCAGACTTGCCAAAAGCGCAACATTTCCTGTGCTTTTCCCAATTTTTCAGCACCGCTGGCCTGGACAGCGACGATAAATCCTCTTGACACAGGGGAAATGTTTAATGTCTGGTGACTTGCATTACAGAAAATTCAAATGCATGGATTGTAAATGTTTATGGATATGCCGATTTCGTTTGCTTCTTTAAATGACATCAATTACATTGATATGTTTATTTGAGTGCTTTATATTAACAAATCCTAATAAGACTCCCTCGATCTTTGCACCACAAACACACAAACACTCCCCCTTTACACACACACACACACACACACACACACACACACACACACACACACACATACATACATACATACATACATACATACACACATACATACATACATACATACATACATACATACATACATACATACATACATACATATATATATATATATATATATGTTTTCTAATGTTAAATATTTTTTTATGAAGCTTTACATTAGCACTCAAATGCATAAAATGAAGCTGGCATTTTAAATCTACATGCCATTTTTATCAATTGATTTCTTTTTCGTATTTAATTGTATTAATTTTATATGGTGTCACACGTGCTCACATATTCTGTTATTCTCGAGAAAGGATTACTGCATTCTCAGCTTATTGGGGCTGGTCTGATAGGTGGCTAGAATGAACCAATAGCTCACAGTATTTTACAAAGAGATCTTGTCCTTCCCCCACTCGCTCTAGTCACAGTGGCTCTCCCTATGCTCAGAGCCGAAGAGGAGATGCGCTTGTCTGTTAGATGACGTTTTAATCATGTATTTTATAAGTCAGTATTAGACTATATTTTTTATTATTATACGTTACCGTGGTCACTACTGAGTCTGGATAGCGTGGATGGATACATCTATGGGAAATATAACTTTATAAAGGACCGGGAAGAAACCGGGGATGACAAAGAGAATGAGATACCGTGACTGGAAATGGCTTTGGTGGTATCATTTCTTTCTTTTGCTGATTACAGTAAACGGACAGACTCGTTACAGCATACTAGAAGAACTAAAACGGGGTTCTGTGGTTGGAAATCTTGCAAAGGATCTTTCTTTGGGAATATCCGACATTTTTAACCGTAAAATGCGCGTCGCCTCTGAGGCTGGTAAGCAGTTCTTCAGCGTGGATGTGGGGAAAGGTGATCTGGTGGTAAATGACAGAATAGACAGGGAGACTTTATGCGGACAAAGCGCCAGTTGCATTTTATCACTGCAAATTGTGACAGAGAATCCCTGCAGTTACACCGAATAGAAGTGGAAGTAAAGGATATAAATGACAATGCTCCGCTTTTTTTTAATGAAGAACGGCATTTAAAGATAGCTGAATCTACCGCTGTGGGGATTCGCTTTCCTTTGGACACCGCGCAGGATCTGGACGTTGGTAGTAATTCAGTGAAGTCATATACACTAAGTAAAAGCGAATGTTTTACATTAAAAATGAAGGAGCTGTCTGGTGACCGATATGTTCCCGAGCTTGTGCTGGAGAAACCACTAGACAGAGAAAAACAGAGCGTACATCAGTTATTATTAACAGCCTTAGATGGAGGCAGCCCGGTGAAAACTGGAACCTCGAGTATTATTGTGACTGTATTGGACAATAACGACAATGTCCCAGTGTTTAAAAGGACGTTGTATAATATTTCCGTGCCTGAAAACAGTGCCTCTGGTTCTGTGCTTGTACGAGTTGAAGCCACAGATGCAGACGAGGGTGTTAATGCGGAGCTCGAATACAGATTTGCCGATAGCACGCCTCAATCCCTGCTATCCATTCTTAGGATGAACTCGGATACAGGCGAAATTATCTTACTAAACCCGTTAGATTATGAGAGCAGTAGCAAAATTGAAATAAGTGTCACTGCGAAGGACAGAGGATTTCCTGAAATGGAGGGTCATTGTCGTGTACAAATTATTGTAATAGACGTCAATGACAACGTACCGGAAATAATCCTTACTTCAAAACCCAGTCCAGTACGCGAAGACGCACCTAAAGGTGCTGTGGTTGCTTTGATAAGCGCGCGTGATCTCGATTCAGGTAATAATGGCAAGGTCATGTTACAATTAACCAATGAGTCTCCCTTCACTTTAAAACCTTCCTTTTCAAACAATTATGCATTGATTACTAATGGCGCTTTAGACCGAGAAACAAATTCAGAATATAATGTCGAGATAACAGCAACTGATTCGGGCTCCCCATCTCTATCAAGCAAGAAAACTATTAGTATCAGCATAATTGATGTGAACGACAACCCTCCGTTTTTTAATCAGCCCTCCTATAACGTATATTTAAAAGAGAATGGGGTTGCAGGATCTATTCTCTATTCAGTATCAGCGTCTGATCTAGATTCTGGAGAAAACGCAAAAATCACATATTCCATACTGGATTCTAAAGTACAAGACGCTTCTGTCTCATCTTATGTTTACATTAATTCAGAAAACGGGAGCATCTACAGCATGCAATCATTTGACTATGAGAAGCTGAAGGTGTTTCAGATTCAGGTTCAGGCAAAGGACCATGGTTCCCCTCCTCTGAGCAGCAACACCACTGTCCATGTTTTTATCCTGGACCAGAACGATAATGCTCCTGCTGTTATTTACCCCTCCTCTGCTGCCCTGGGTTCTCTCTCTCATCAAAGGATGCCCCGCTCTGCTAAAGCTGGTCACCTGGTTACTAAGGTGACGGCCGTGGACGCTGACTCCGGCCATAATGCGTGGATCTCCTACAGACTGGCGGAGGCCACAGACGCCTCTCTGTTCACCGTCAATCAGTACACAGGGGAGGTGAGGACTAAACGCGCTGTAACCGAGCAGGATGACTCCTCTCAGAGGCTGCTGATAGAGATCAAGGATGATGGGGAACCGGTTCAGTCCGCCACCGCTACGGTGTCCATCCTGCTGGAGGACGGTCTCCATGAGCCCATCTTAGACCTCAGACACAAAGTTTCTGAGCCCAGCAAAAAAACTGGCAGAATTACCCTTTATTTGATTCTTTCTCTGGCCTCAGTGTCCGTGCTGTCTCTGGTGACGTTTCTCATCTTAGCGGTGAAATGCATCAGGAGCAGCAGTAGCAGCGGGAGCTGCTGCATGAGAAGAAGCGACTGTGATGATTACAAAAACCCCAACAGAAACCTGCAGATTCAGCTCAATACTGATGGACCCATAAAGTACGTGGAGGTCCTGGGAGGAGACATGATGTCTCAGAGTCAGTCCTTCAGGTCGTGCATGTCTCCAATGTCAGAGTACAGTGATTTTACTTTGATCAAACCCAGCAGCACCACAGACTTTAAAGAAACCCTCAGTGTTCTGGATGCGTCTTTACCTGACAGCACCTGGACCTTTGAGAGCCAGCAGGTGAGCAGAGTCACATTCAAAATAATTTAGATTTACATTAGCACGCCATTGTGAAACCAGAACGGGTAACCGTGGTAATAAATTATAACTGTACAATCAACTTAATTTCTGGATATTTTTGGTTTCTTTTTATACATTTTCTAGATAATGTGTATTGTGTTGTTTGTTTCTTTTTTTAATGATTGACCTAGTATGTGCTGTGCTTTCTTATTTCTTAATTGCAAACTGACTGTGAAATATCAGGTACACTATAAATCTGTGTTTTTTAAACTCAGTCCTGCGCGTTTTTAGTCTCTTCTCCAGTACATGCCCATTAAATGATTGCATTCCCTCCTTAGCAGCCCTCAGGGGCTGTAGGACCCATTCTATTCATGTAGTTGTTTAAATCATGTGTGGGAAGGTAGGAAAACACTTATAGGACAGTGGGTCCTGAGTGCCGAGTTTCTAAACTGCTTTAGAGTACAGATTTCAGCACCATAGACTCGGACAGCGACCGAAATTTTGTGACGCAAAGAGGATGCACTGACCGTCTTTAAATCACAATAGAATGACTGAATGAGGTTTTCTGTTTTCATTAATGAAAATACACTATATTCCAATAATCATGTAAGATATTTATAAGGCTTGGCGATTTTTAATTATATTTGTATAGGATTGTTTGTGTCTGCGGAATATTGAATAATATTAATTTACAGTCTCCCATCGTGAATCAAAAGGGAGTTATGTGTGTATTTCAAGGCCTTGTTCTGATTGGATACCAGAGGTGGAAGCTGTGAACCAATAGAATTCAGAACTGTACAAAGAGATCTAATCCCTCCCCCTCTGCAGCTTCAGCAACCACAATGCTCTGAGTGGGAGAACAGTCGGCAAAAATGTCTTATATTTGAAGCTTAAGATAATGTCTCAGTTTAAATCTCGTCCATAAATAGATTCTATTCCAGCCGGGCATGTTGCGTTCACGGATTATTATCATTTCCTTTTGGTCCTTCACTCTCTTGGAATGGAAACGGTATTATTGGTAGAATAAGGATGACAAAGAAGAAAGGATACCGAGACTGGAGATGGCAGGCGCTTTGGTGGCATCAATTCTTTCTCTTGTGGAATACAATAAACGGACAGACTCGTTACAGCATACAGGAGGAGCTGAAAAGGGGATCTGTGGTTGGAAATCTCGCCAAAGACTTAAGTCTGGGACTCTCTGACATTTTTCACCGTAAACTACGTGTCCCCTCTGAGGCAGGTGGGGAGTATTTCAGCGTGGATGCGGGGAAGGGCGAGTTGGTAGTGAATGACAGAATTGACAGAGAGGCTTTATGTGGACAAAGCACAAGCTGTATATTACCTCTGCAGGTTGTAATAGAGGACCCGTTACAGTTACA